CCCCCGTGCCCCGCTGTCCCCCCGGGCTCACCCTGGCCAGCCGCTGAGCCATGACGCTCCTCTCGAGGCACAGGATGCGGGACATGTCCGTGTGCTCCTTGGTGCACGTGTCCAGCCACTGGGTCAGCCCGTCCACCAGGGCCTGGCACAGCAGCCACAGGAACCTCAGCGTGTTCAGCGCCCGCTGCAAGGCGTTGCTCCGCTCTGCCAGGGCAAAAAGAGGGGTGGGGTGGTGCCCACTCAGCTCCCCCCAGCACTGCAGTCCTGCTGCCCACCTACCAGAACTTTCCATGCTCTCTTCCTCTTGGCCTTCAGCCCCTTCAGCAGCCTCCACCTCTCCCCTTGCATCTTCCCCTGCAAGGGTCAGACCCCAGGGAAGGATGAACGTCATTTCTGGGCTCTGCCATCCACCACCCCATCCACCCTAAAAACCAGGGTGGGCACCAAAGAAGCTGCACAGCTCATGCCCAACCCCACTGTAGCCACCAGAGAGTCTCCTCACGCACTGGGAGCGCCCTGCCAGGGCCCACAGTGGGCACCAGGCAGGGCTGTGTCCCCTGCTGTCCCCCCCAGCCCTATTTTGGGGGTGTCACACCCACCTGCAGAGCTCTGGGTGCTGGGTGGCTGCGGCTGCTCGGACTGCTCCTGCTGCTGCAGCACCGTCCTGGTGTTGGTCACCCAGGCCTGGTAGGCGAGCTGGAGGGGGACAGGGGCCATCAGCACACCCTGGGGACACTGCCAGCCCTCTGGCTGCCCTGCAGTGCCCCACTCACCTGGAAGGCGCTCGGCCTCTCCGGCCGCCGGGGCTCCTCCTGCACCTCCTCCTCCTCCTCGCTGTCCGACTCGAAGAGGAAGTATTCCCCGGAATGCAGCACTGCCAGGGGGGCACAGGGTGTCACAGCACAGCCGGGCTACAGTGTCACAGCCCAGGCTGTCATCTCCCAGGGCTCTGCCTGGCACCGAGGACACCCACGAGGAGCCAACAATTCAACTGCCACATCCCTCCAGCGCCAGCATTCGGAAGTGACCGACATTAGTGACCCCAAACCCAGCCTGGCACCCCCAGTCCAGCACCCCATTAGTACTGGGGAGCAGAGAAGCCGTGTTAGTGCCCTGTGGCTGAGCCTGGGGACAGGGGACATGCAGGGTGTCACCAGCGGGGGGTTAGCGGTCCCGGCGGGGGGACCTCTCCGAGGGGCTGTGCCCTGTTACGCCCCGTGGCGGGGCTGTACCTGCGGCGTGGTCTGACCATGACCGCCACCACCGCTCCCTGTGCCGGGCCGGGTCTGCTGGGCTGCCGGGCACTGTGGGACGGCAGGCGGGGCTGAGAACGGCCGTGCCCAGGGCGCCCACCACGCCTGGGGGGGTTCAGGGTGGGA